GCCTGGGAAACCTAAGGAGGGGTCCCTATGAGTCGGATCCGACATGACAGCAGTGTATTTGGTTTGGTTTGGTCGTCTATTAGGAGCTCTGGCAGTGTAGTGGTTGAAGTATTCTACTGCTAACCAAAAGGCTGGCAGTTTGAACCCACCAGTTCCTCTGTGGGAAAAAGATGAGGCAGTTTGCTTCCTTAAAGATTTACAGCCTTGGAAAACTTATGGGACAGTTCTATGCTGTCCTGGGATCACTATGAGTTGGAATTGACTCAATGGCAGTGGTTTTTATTATTATTATTGGTTTAGTATCCTATTAAGTGTGTAGTTGCATTAAGAAAAAGTTTGAGATACTGTGAGAATTACCAAAATGTGACACACAGACATAAAATGAGCACGTGCTATTGGAAAAATGATGCTGACAGACATGCTTGATACAGGGTTGCCACAAACCTTCAATTAGTAAAAAAAAATTAATTGCAGTTATCTGCCAAAGGCAATCAAGAGCAGATCAGTAAAATGAGATGTGTCTGTACTGTGCCCCTCACTCCACTCCTTTGACTCATCTCACTCCAGTAGAGACCAGTGTGCCTGCCCAGGGGACTGAGTGAATGGTCACAGCAGAGGGTGCACAGTGCCAAGGGCTGTTCCTGTCACCCACTCTGCCCCCACTGCCCGAAACTTGAGCCTGTTGCTCTCCAGGATAAATCGGGGCCTGACTCAGTCCCCAGCCAGCCAGTCACAGTCAGTCTGACCCAGGCACAGGCTGGTGACTCAGCCCTCAATATAGCCCATGAGCCCAGGCCCCAGGCCCGGCCATGTGGGCCGGAACAAACCGTGCACAATGCTGGTCCTGGGGCCTGCCAAGTGGGGCCCCCTCCCAGAGGAGGGCCGATGTGTTGTTCCTCCTCCAGCCAGCAGGGGCACACAGAGGGACTTGCAGGGGGTTTCATCATCTAAGAATTTGGGGCTGCACACTGGCTGGGGCCGCCGTCTGTTTATAACCCCCTGACTCACACCCCGCTGACCTGTCTCAGGAGACCAGGTTACCCAGGCTTTCACTTGTCCTGCTTCTCTCATCAAGGAGCACTACTCATCAGCCACAACATGGGGCCCAGCAGAGTCCTGGTGAGTGGGTCCAATGTGCCATGTTGGAAAACCCTGGTTCTCTGGAACCAGGGTCATTTCCATGGCCCCCGGTGATGATACCAGGCTGTCTAGGAGTACAGCAGGCACACTGACCAATCTGACACAATATTGATTGTGGCCCTGAGCCAGGTCCCAGGGACAGTGTGACAGAGTGACAGTGTGCATAGGCTGGATTGCAGCCTCTCCACTTCTGCCTCTGTAACATTGGGCCGGTAATAGAATGTTTCAGGCACTCAGTTCTCTCATCTGCAAAATGGAGTTAATGTTCTCATAAGGATGTTTTGTGTGTGCGAAGATAAAAGGAGATAATGTGTAAAATGATTTGCAGGGAGGTCTGGCATCTAGTAAGCACTCACAAACAGTCGCTTATTTCCCCTGCTGGTGTCTTAGGGACCATGTGGCTCATGGTGCAACCCTTCCTCAGCTCTGTCTCTACACCCACTGTAGAGACCACTGTCCTCATCTTCACACTGCTTGTCTCTTCCCTTCCCTAGTGAGTCTGTGCCCTAACCCTCCACCAGCCAGAGTCAGCACTCGAGAATATGCACTGACCTCCCAGACAGCTGGGCAGGGGGAAGCAGAAGGGGTTGTCTTCAGGGAGGGGGGAGAAAGGAAGTAGCTTTGCAGGGAGCAGCAGAGGTGAGAAATGGGGGCTTCTGAAAGGGTTTGTACATTGGCCTGCCTGTGGCTCTTAAGAGCTACCCCTATAGTCTTAAAATCAGCCCTCTCTCTCTCTTTTAAATTGTGATTTGGGTGGAAATTTACAAAGCAAATTCACTTTCCATACAGCAGCATACATACACTTCCTCACATGACATTGACTACAATTTACCCCAATGCAACAGCTCCCCTCCCACTTCCTCCCCATAGTTTCCTCTTCCCTGTGTCCTTCCCTCCATGCACTCCTGCCCCCTGAGCTATGTCCCTGTGCATACACAGCACTTCTATTCTCCCATGATTGATCTCTCCAAGGAGTGTATCTACCTAGTGTAAATGTTCAGCTCATATGCCTGTCTTTTGTTTGGCTGGAAGCC